CCAGAGATGTGTCAACACATCTCAGGCGACTACTCCCAGAAACCCCAATTTCAAGCATGGTTACAACCCACTTAATCAAAGTATGCCCTGTTTTTTGGGTGTACAGTCTAAGCAAGCAGCTGCAAACAAATCTGCAGGAGATCCGTGTCTTTTGGTGGAATTTATTTGGCAAATTTCCCATCCAAGTTGAACATCAAAGGCTTGGACAATCCAAACTGGCTCCAATTCGGGCCCAACCGCAAGACTAAAACCAAGCAGCGCCCCAAAAAGACACAAAGCAAGCTAAGGAACCTACTCCCACCAAACCGGAGCAACACAAAACACACAACACCCACCAAAAAACAAACAAGGAACCACAAGAAACAGACAAGACAACACAGTCAAGTGGCACCGTGTACCCCAAGCTCCTACGAGGGGAACTCCCCCGAGGTGAGCACCCAGCTGGTGGGCCACGCCCGGCCCCGCGAGGGCGTCCGCGTGAAGGCGGGCGCCGCGGGCGCCGCCAAGCTGTCGGAGGAGCAGCGCGCGGATCCCGCGGCCGGGCGGTGCAGCGAGGCGCGGGGGCGCGGAGCGGAGCTTAGGCGACCGCGAGGGGAGGCCAGGGGAGGCGAAGGGGCTCCGAGGCCATTTTTACGCCTAGTTTTTAATACCTGGCGCGAAGGGAGGGGAAGCAGGAGGGTCAGGTTTGGAAAAGTCCGTTTGGTGCTGAATCCCCCCGAAAAAGGGGGTCCTGAAACCACGTATTTTTTCAGCAAGGGTGGTTTTAGAGATTGTTGCGGTGCTTGGGGTGCTGAAGCCATTTTTTTGCCCATTTCTCGGTGTGTGTTTTTTGCGGTGTTTTCGAAGGGTGGGCAAAAGGCTAGGATTGGGAATCCAGGGCCTGTCTCTTTCGGATGGTTTCTTTGGAATTATTTCTTGTGCGGATGTTGAGACAAGCCCATTTCCCCAGGCTGGTTTTTAAGCACCTTCTGGAAATGCCAACTTGAGGCGGGCGTGTATTTTTGTTTTTGGGGGGGAGACCTTTGGCTTTTTTGATACCTTCATTTTCTGTGATACCCTTGGGGGATTTTTTAAGTGATCGAGAACTGCGGATGGGATCCGCAAAAGGCGCCCGTGCTCCCAAATCAGGGGGTTCCTTGTCGGAGGTGAACGTGGCGGCCGACCACCCAGTGCGGACCTATGTGAACAAGGTGTACAGGCGCCGGTTTAGGGCATCTTTTTGGAGTGGAGGGCGCCAGTTCCCTGTGGAGTCGTTTTCTGGGTGGTTCCCTGCCATCCCAGCAGCTAATTCATGTTTCTTTGGGTTTAGTGGGGGTTTCGATTTGCGCTAAGAGTTACTTTGTAGCAGGGGATCTGAGGACAGAGTTGTTTTTTGGGAATCCCCATGGTGGTGTTCTTACAGGGAGCTGGGAAAGAAATCGAAGCCATGGGGGTCCCCAAGACGCACCCATCTCTTTGTCCCTAAGCATTTTCTCTCATTTTCTTACTTGGGTTTCATCAGTTTGTTCGTGCAACTGAAGACCTGGCATGTTGTGATAAGGGTTGAGACCCACTTCTTTTCAACAATTCTGGAACCCTCCCCCGTTTTTGTAGAAGGGAAATAAAGACTGGAGAAGCTACCTCCAGAATGACTTGTTGATGCCTGTTTTCACATATCCAAGATGCATGTCGTCTTCCAATAGTGCTTGGATGGGCCTATGGTCTAGACTCTCACTCAAACACCCGTTAAAACATCACCAGTGTGCAGGTGCGTCCAGGTGCGAAGAGGACTTTCTCCATACCAAGGAACCTCCCCTAATGGGGGATGAGTCTTTAGGAAAGCCTTCCAGTATCACGAAAGTGTGAAATTCCCTCAGACCTGTTTCAGATCCTCAAATTCATGCCATCCCCAAACCTCCGGCGCATTTGGAAACCAGCGTGAAACCCAATCGGTTCTTCCTTTTTCCCTTACTTGCACTTGGCTATGACTTTCAGTAGGGGAACTACCTTTGGGGGACATGAAATCCCACCGAATCTTGAATGTCCCGACAAAAAACACACCCTCACTCTGCATGGACGACTTTACCCACCAGTTGGGATGGATGAGTTTGACATGAATACTGGTTGATAAACCATCTACCAACTAGCGCCTTTGCGGAAATCTTTGCACTTTCATTTTTTAGGTCTAGTTACCTGGCGGGATTTGCGGGGGACCAATCATACCTCAGACCAGCGGCTTCGCCGGTTCGTCGTTTTTCCCCAACAGCTGAAAGCTTTGGGGTCTCAGCCCAGATAGGCTCCGGGGTGGTACGGGGCGGCCCTGAGGTAAGGTTCCACGAGGGTTCCACCAGCGTTCCGCCAGGGTTCGAGGGCTGTGGGGTGGTGCGAGCATTACAAAGAGCACCGCATGCTGTTGGGGATATCGCCTGAGCTCTTGTTTTTTTGGGGGGTTTTCAAACATATTGTAGGTTTTGTTTTGGTGGGGGGGCGGTCCACTACCTCGAAGGCTCCACCCGGGTTTTGGTTAGGAGCGTCCATGTGGCGGACCACCTCTACGGGCAAGAGGACGCCTTGGTCTGGCAGGAGGTGCCCCTGGAGAACGGCAGCTACCGGGGCCAGGCGCGGGGTCGGGGGGGTTTGGGGGGCTTGGAACCGGCCCGGGGGAGCTGTTGGGGAGCTGGGGGGGATCTAATTTGCGTTTAAAGAGTGAGCGAATGTTAACCCCGGATAAACAAACCCCTGGTGGATTAATAGGGGAGGTGTCCCATTTAAGGGGGATTCATCACTTTTGGAGGGAACACCCCCCTAAGGACGGGTTTGTTAGTCCTGGGTCAACATTACCAGGAGTTCCGTAAGCACATGGTAGGCAAGCAGGTTGACTGACTGAGCCAACATGTGTTTTGCTCTTTTGATCTTTCAAGCAGAGAGTGGAAGGTTTTGCAGGTCCAAGTTTGGCCGAGAACAGGCCGATAACGGAGAAGTTGTTTGAAGAACCAAAGCTGGCGATTGAATTGAACTATATAAATTTCCTCGGGACGTTGTTGTGTGTTTCCTCCTTTTTGAAGGAACAATCGTGGCAGTTTCACCGCCGTCGGAGAGCTTTCCCAATTGTGGTGCAACGTGTGGGAAATGTCATGACCTCTTTTGGAGGATGCTCCTCCTCCCTTTGTTGGTGGAAGTGGCCAAGGGAGTTGTGATACATCAACTCGGATGGGGGCCCAACCGAGCGCCGAGCCTCAAAACCCTGAAGGCAGAGTTTGAGGTGCCCTTTTCAGGCTTCAGACAAAATAGAAGAAACAAACATCTTTCAGGTGCCCTTTTCAAGCAAGACATCTGTTGACCGCGAGCGTTGCCCTATTCAAGCCGAAGAGGCCGGGTGCCTGTCACCGGCCGGGAGCTCGCGAGCGCGCCAGGTGTCGCGGGGCAAGCTGAGCGGCGCCGGGGTGGCGAAGTGGGCGGACGACAGTCGCTACGAGGGCCAGTGGCAGGACAGGCTACGGGGCGGCCAGAAAAAGCCGCGAGGGGGAACGAGCTGTTGCGGGTCAAAAGTAGGTGAACCCCAAAATTCAAGCCTGGTAAATGGAAATATGAACTAACAACGGTGGGTGAGTTTGACAACGCTGCTCCAACCCTGGTGGGCTTTTTTTTGTCTGGCCCAAATTGGGGGCGTTGCTTTTTGGGAATCTAGGGCTTCGAAGACAGTTCCAAGTACGACTCACTGCTGGCTTCTTCGGATGTTTATATGACGGCAAGCCGAAGGAGCATCCAGTTTTCTGACGGACCCAGATCAGGTCGCCCTGGGGGACATATCTCCGCTGGTGACTTGGGTGCTGGGTGCGGCTTCCGGGACTTGCCGTTGGGGTCGATTTTGCGGCAAGACCGGAGGTGGAAGCATGAGGTTCGCTTGAACGATCCAGAAATGGACGTGGCGGGACTCACTGAATCTCAGCCACAACCAGTGTCCACCGTGGGAAACTGTGCAGATGATGAATTTCACAAAGCAGCAGCCTCGCAAATGGCCGATGGACCATTTGGCTCATATTCCCATTCGTACGCTGGATAGTGCACTACAATGGATACTGTATCGCTGGGGTTAAATCGCCTTCCCTCAACTCCAAAGGAAAAAGACAACCCACACACAGCCATACCGTGGATGGTCGAAATCCTGCACCACCGTTCAGAAACCCTGGAATGATTCGATTCCCATGCCAACAAACCGTCTGGTTTCAACCATGGCTTCATTGGTGCGAGATGGATCTTTCACATGTCCAACCGGTCCGGGGAAGAAAACCCGCGAGCTCGCGTCCCGTTAGGAGGGCAGCATGCAGGGCCTGGGCGCCTTCACGAAGCCGGACGGCAGCTGCTACCAGGGCCAGTGGGCGGCTGGAAAGACCGGTTCCGTCGACGCGACTTCGGCTCCGCGCGGGTTCCGCTGGATGTTGGCCACTTTGGGTTTGGATCTTTTTGGGGTCTTTTTCCAAAGCTGAAAGGTGAGGGGTCTCCCGGAGGTTTGGGGGTGGCTCGGAGCTCGAGTCAGGTTCAAGCAAGGTTCCCAAGGTTCCGGGGTGGTCTGGTGCAGGCCAGGTGTAAGGTAGGCAGGTTCCGGTTCCGGAGGTTTTGGGGTGTCAAGGTTTGGGAGGTTTCGAAGGAAAAAAAAGCAAGCTAGCTCGTCGGAGTGACAGACATCTGCTACTGCTTTCCCAAAACCTCAATTTGAAAAGACAGTACAGCACTTTTGGAAAGTGCTGTACTGTCCCTAACATCCAGGCTTTGGACACTGTCCCTAAAAAACCGCAAAAAACATTCAGCACTTTCTGCATGGTGATGCTCAAAAGTGCTGTACTGTCCCTAAGAAACAAAAAAAGTGCTGTACTGTCCCTAAAAACACCAAAAATCCTTGCCAGAATGTTTTTGGAATGGTTTATTAGGTATTTTAGGGACAAACAAGAATGTCGCAGTTTTTTGCTGATCTGCTCATCAAGAATGATGCTCGTTTTTGACCCAAGTTTCTAGGATCAGAATCTGATCCTGGAACAGGTGGTCAAAAACAAGCATTTTACGCGTGTTTTTCCTGGTTTCTTGCTTTCAAGAGGTAAAATGTGGATCTTGGGGGGGTGACCATGTATATACATATATATATATATATCTATATACATTTGTTTGCAGCACTGCCTGGGAAGTTGGCAAGGAGCTGGGAAGGGTGGCAAGTGCGATGCTCGGGAGAAAGGGAGGTGTCGGACAGCTGGATTCGCCGGGGGTCCTTGGATAGAAATACGGTTGCTTCCCCAAATCTTGCAAGTAGATCTCGGTTTGTCGGGAATTCTTGCGTGTGGTGTTTCGGGTGAAGCGAGAGTGTCGTGAATATGGTAGGTTGGCGACATACTCTACCTGGATGACTTTAGTTGAGCTTGCTTCGTTCCCACATTTCAGATCACGTCGGTTCCAAGACACGGCGACTTCCTCCAAATTTGGCTCTGGAAAGAAAGGTCGCTGCGTTTTGGGAGGGCGCCGGGGCAGGGCCATCAGAGGCCGTCGCAAGCAAACGGCTGCACACATGGCAGTGACATGTCAAAGGCGTGTCGTCAACGCCAAATATGTTGTCGATATGCCTGCTACGAGGTCTCATTTTTCTAGTTTGACCATTTACGACAAGCGCCAGGGCAGGGAGCCAAACCAGCGCGAAAGAACATGGGTTTGTCTCATCGCAGACTGCAAAAACATGCGTGGATCCAAATTGCATCGTTTTCAATCCACCCTGCAAATGGTGGGTAATGGCATTGGACGTGCAGGCTTGAGCGACCTTTGGTTTTCTTGGCTTTTCTGGGATTCATGTTCTAGGATGTATTACATCTCAGCCGAAGTGGAGTTAACCCTGCCAATTTTGGGCTACAGCCCGGGTGGCCAATGACTTTCAAACTTGGCAGAACATATAAGTGGGTTGGTCAACAGGGCGCAAATTCTGTGTTATGGGTCGCCCATGCAAGGCCGGGGACTCGGTCGACCCCCCTTGACGCAACAGCCCGCAGGATGCACGGGCGAGGCGTTTTGACGTCTCCGGACGGGCACCGCTTCGAGGGCGAGTGGCGGGATGGGGAGCAGCTCTGAGCCTTGGGGCAAATTCGGGGGGCCCAGCATGTGGTACGGGTGGTTCTACCTTCATGGGTGAAAAGGCAACGTCTAGTAGCCCCCGAGTCGTTCTACCTGGCTTCCTTTTAGTGGCAAGTTCGAGCCTTTTGCTAGGAAACCCACCAGAGCTTGTTTCCTTGGACTTTTGGTTCGACCTTGGCCCAAGCGGTGGTTCTTCAACGGTTCCCTCGTACTTGCATGAAACGCAACTCATATCAGCTCGATTTCTGAGACCCCGCTGCTTACTCGCCTCGCTGGTGGGCTTGAAGAGCGCCAGCGCCGCGCTCCATTGCAATCGCGTTAAGGGAGGGAAAACGCCCCAAGGCGTTTCTCCTGCCAGATTTTCCGGAGAGAGTGTGCGAGCGCAAAGCAGGGCTTGTGGCCAAGATAAGGGAAGAAGGAAGGTCGCCGGATGAATGTGCCATGGATGACATGAGGGGAGAAAGCGGCTCATTGTGCCTGTGTGCTAGCAGTCCTTTCAGCTGAAATTCGCTCACTCTTTCAAACATCTGGTCAGTTCAACGCTCTGCGGTGTTGAAGGCGCATTTTGATGACCACTTCTCTTTTTTCGCCCAGCCCACAACCCAGGTTTTTGCGCCCGCGTGTTTCTTGTGCCCACGAAAGAAATTTCTTCCGACAGCCTTGGAAGTCGGAAGCGCCCGTTCTGGCAGAGTTCGGCGAGCGCTTTTTGGGATATGGGTGGGAGGGTGCGGAAGGAAAGGGGTGGCAGCACGGGAATTTTGCGTGAATAAACCCTTGTTAGAGAAGCAGGGACTACTTCGGCATATTACCCCGCGAGTGTCTTGATCCGCTCTGCCTTCAAGGCTCAAGCCGGCTGTACCAAGCTCTACCATTGACTATGGCAAGCCCTAGTTTGACAAATTTGCGAAAAGGGTCATGCGCCCTTCCACATGTTCCCCCAACAAGCTGTCTGCGACCTCCACCAACCTCCAAGTGCCTTTCCCATTGACCCCCGAACCCCGCCAACCTGCTGCCGGATGTTTGTGTGGAGCAGCTTCTGGGCCACCCGTGGAGGTGCGTGGGGTCTCCTCATGTTCATTTTGGGGTCGACTACTATGAAGTAGAAACTGTTTTTTTTCTATTTGGTTTTGTTTTTCCTCAAGGGCTGACTAAATTTGGAGCAGATTCTGAACACTTGCATGTTGTGTGCCCCAAACTTTGGGCCGAGGGTCCGCCTTGGAAAAGCCAGTCTAGTCCTCTTGGATCGCCCCAGCATAAGCTTCGGGCATTTGCGGTGCAACCTGGGTCGTTTTTGAAGGGAGCCAAATCAGCGTGAAAAGGTCCTGGGTTTGTGTCATGGGGGTGCCAAAGCATGAGTGGTTTTCATATAAAGTTTCGCTTCAAATTAGCTACCGTAGTCAGTTGTGGGTTGGATCGGTGGTTTGGTTTCCCTTTGAAGCCAAATGGAGAAGGTACACGCTTAGCGTCCAAACCACGGGTGTGCAGATGAACATGGAATCCGGAAAAGCGCCTTGTGTAGGTCCATGAAACAAATGCCGGGTACTGAGCCGAGCCCAAAAAGCCAATAGCCAACGAAAAAGTGTAGAGTGTATCTTTTTAGGTCGCCCATGGGTTCCTTCCGTGATTTTGCCGGGGACTTTTCCGAGCCGCGTTGCCGCACCGGCCGCAGAATGCACGGGGCGAGGCGTGTTGGCTCGGGCGGATTTGCGCCGCTTCGGGATGGGAGAAGCTCTGAGACATTGGACAAATCGGGGCCAAAGCTTATGTAAGGTCTGGTGACTGTGCGGGGGTACCTGGCTTCCTCCCAAGTGGCAAAAACTCGTCGTTTATTTCTTGCAAGGGGTCCTTGCTGGGAAACCCACCAACCCTAGTTTCCGCGGACTTCGACTTCTGCTTTGTTTCTATCGGTTCTTTGGTTCTACCCGGTTTGCGGGGTGAAAAGGTAACTCCTACATCTTCATTTTTGCACCCATATTGAGGAGAACCAAACGTCAGCTCGGGTTCTCAGACCCCGCTGCTCACTTAGGTTATCTATTTAGCCCTGTTGCGGCCCCGACCCTGGCGAATTGCAACTGGTGCCAATGACGCGCTCCGTTGGAATTGCTTTTGGGAGGCAAAATGTCCCAAGGGCTTTTCTCTTCCCGATCTTTGGAGAGAGCGTGCGAGCAAAAGAAGTGAATTTACGGAGAGCCAAGATGAAGGGTGGAAGGAAGGTCGCCTTTCAGCGGAAGTTCACTCACCCTTCCAAATATCTGGTCCAGTTCAATGTTTCGCTTGCTGTTTCAAGCGCATTTTGATTACCGCTTCTCGTTTTTCGCGCCCAAACATGGGCAGGCTTCACACCACCCAGGACGTGGCGCTGTTTTTCGCTCGCGCGCGCGAGCGTGCGTTGCAGGGATTGCTCGGGGAAGAAATTTCTTCGGAGGCAGCGCCCATTCTGGAAAACCTTATTGGGATATGGGTGGGAGGATGTGAGAGGGAAGGGGTGGCAGTATGGGAACCCCGGATCAATAAACAACTGATAGATTAACAGGGGGGGTTTCGTACTCCGGGGTATTACCCCACGAGTGTCTTGGTGCGGGAGAATGTTGATTTCTTGGATCCGCTCTGACTTCCTTCGAGGCTCAAACCAGCTCTGTTCTACCAAGCTCTACCATTGACCATCTATCATTGACCATGGCATTGCTGAAGCTTGTCGTTTGCTTCCTGGTCCTTGCAGCAGCCGAGGACTGCCAGCCCGACAGCGAGGAACTCAACCTCCTGCAAAGTGGAGTGGATGCGAAGCCATCCCTGTTGTCCAAGGACACCGCTGGCTCCGGATTTCATATCAATGTGAAGAGTAGCTTGGCTGGAATGGGGCTTCGACAGATGATGGCACCAGTTGAGGTGGGTTCTGCCAGCACTCGTATTGAGGATGTGAAGGCCACGATTCAGAACATTCTAGGTTTGTTCCTGCCCGTGCGAGCTTTGATCTGCAACGGCAAGTCTCTTCAGAACGGACACACGTTGGCTGACTACAACATTGGCTCCGGCAGTTCTTGTCAAGTGGAGTGATGCAGGAATTCGTGTGAGGGTTCAGAAAAGACATATCCGTGAGATGTGTACTGCGCCAAATAATAGATACGTGGAGGGCGGGCGAGGGCAATGTTCCAGGGTAATGTATTTTTCCAGATTAATCCGCTTCTTTCAAGTGTTTAGGGCTCTTTAGAGCTGTCCAGGCTGGGCCGGTTGGCTCTGGAAATAGTATAACACGTTATGATGTTTGTTTTTTCATACGTTGGGGCTGTATTTTGTTGGGGGACTAGGCGAATAATGCATAGAACGGCACACCACAAACCAAAAAACACAGAAAACCAGGGCAATAAAATCAAAGCAAACCAGGGTCCTGCGGAGGAAGGGTAGCTCTGTCTCATAGACCCTGATTTTCTGTTTCGTTTTCCGGCTTGTCCGCTTGCCAAAGAGCCTGGTGGTGTGGGAAGGGTGGCAGGTGCGTCGTGTTCGGAAGGGCATGCTGACATTCGCCGGGGTTCCTTGGAAGGTACGGTTGCTGAAGCCCAAAATCTTGCAAGAGACCACGGAAAGCCCAACTGGATGTCTTTATTTGAGTCTGTCTTTTCTGAGGGGTTCCCCTTTTGATCTCACCGGGGTCCGTTTCCGCATTTCGGCTCGGTTCGGAGGCGCGCCGGCTTCCAAGTTCGGCTCTAGGAAGCAAGTCTCTGTGTGAAAAGGGAGGCCACAAGAGCGGCCCTCCGAGGCCTTCAAACCGCCGAAAGCCGCCGCATGGCGAAGAGAGCCATCAAAGCCATGCGTGCCGTCACCCAATTGCCGAAGATGTTGACCAAGGTTTTGGGTTGGACGTAGTTGCGAAGGCAAGATTGCGGCTTTCCCCCCCCGCCCATTTTCCCCCCCAAGCTGGCTCCGATCTCCTCGAAGTCCCCATCTCCCACCGCATCTCCGCTCCAAAACCCCACGGGGCCAACTGGCCAAGCCCTGCCGGATGTCCCTGCTGACGCCCCGCTTGGACTGGCTTCTGGGGCCACTCGGCAGATGGCTGGGGGTTCACGTTTTGTGTCGGATTTGGACGACCCTATCGGGATGTCGGCTTAGAGGGTACTCGCTTTGGGGTGGGCTTCAAGTGAAGCTAAAGGGAAACCACTGATTGTGGCGGTCCTTCAAGAAAGAAAACCCCAGATGGGCACATACTGTCTTTGAGTTGGTGCCTTGTTTTGGGTTGATCAGAAGCTCAACCAAATAAAACAAAACCCATTTTAGACGTTCCACTATTTTGAGACGGACCTTGATCTGAGGAATCTCCCTATAATGACAACTAATCCCCTAAAGTCAGGGTGGTCCTGAGGATCAACCCAGGCCGTCTCAGGCATTCGCTTGCGTCTTTTCGGCATTACCAAAAAACGGGACCCTGATCATGCCCGGCTGAGCCTAGTTTGATCCTGTTCTTGGCGTTGAAAATCAGAATTTGGTGCGGTGTGCTTGTTTTTGCAGATTCTCAATGTGGTCAAGTGTCTATACCCTTGATAGTTTGGAGCTCGGGACACTCAGATGTTTGCCGCCCAAAAAGTGGCCCGTTGCAACTGGTTTTTGGCAAAGCCCATGGGACGGCCCAACCCAAGATTCTTCCAACCAAATCGTTGGTGGAATACCGGCGAATCCCAGGGTGGACGCCCGGTTTTATTTCACGTCGCGAGAGCTTCACTTGGTTTCCCCTGGCTTTTAAAAGAAGCATCCCAAAGAATGGAACCGCCAGAGCTGGGAAACAGAGGGCCCCTTCGTTCATGTAGGCTTCGAGCAGAAGAGCAGCTCAGGTGTTGCACGGCTGGGGGATGCGAGGCACACAACCAGTCTGAGTATCAGGCGGGCTTTGGGGGGGGGAAAAAATGGAGAAAAGGGGGGGCCCGGGGGGTGGTCTGTTGATGGTCCCCTGTTCTGGTTTTTATGTTAATCTCAAATCAGTGTTCCCCCTTATTCGTTTTGAAAAGGGTGTTTTTGGGGAGCTTATTTATCGTTTTCGTTAAGGTAATCATTTGGGTAATTGCCCCCCTTGTTCATTGTTGGGCTGGGGGCCGACATTTTTTTCATTTGAAAGAGTTAGCCCTTTTAGTAGTTATCAAGTTCTGGGGTGTTGGTGGTGTATTTGTTTTGTTAGTGTTTTTCTCACTAATTTTCATTTATAGGTTAAAAGTTCAGTATAATTATAACATATAAGATTTTACATGTTATTATTATATTATGATTATAATTTCAGTTCAGGATGATAATTTAATTGATTATTCTTACTTCTTTCATACATCATTTTAAAAATGCAGTTGTCAGCGCAGCTGATAACGTTTTATTTCGTAACAGGTCATTTTCCAACTTTGGCGGGGCCAAATTTGACAAGCCGCCGCCGCAACATATGATGTCTGCTTTACGCAGTCCGGCTCAGGGAGGGCGCGGTGGGTGCTCGCTTCTCTCAAATGAGACATTTTTAAGCGTTTCGTTGCAAACAAAGTAATCATGCATGTTCGAAAGGCAATCGATCGTTTTTGGGTTCACTAGTTTGAACACGGCCCGCTATGCTGGCGCGCCATCATGGATTCAGTTGCATCTTCAGATGGTGATATTGATTTGCACAATATTTCTACAGATATGCGCGATGCAAGACCAGCAGGTTGCGCATTGGATTTGGTGGATATCCTTTCGGATGGTGACAGCGCGGGTCAGGGCGAAGTACCCCCAGTTGAGAGACGCGAGCGCTTTGAGTCGGCAGCAGAAGTCTCTACGAAGGCAGTGGAGCCGAGGCAGCTGGACAATCTGCCTATTAACAGGAATGCAACAGATTTGAATTTGGTTTCCAGGAATTTTGAGAGTATGGTGCAGAACATGTTCCACGCTTGCAAAAAGACATCGAGTCAATTCGAAATGCCTTGGGAAACAGGAGTTTTCAAGCATATTTTTCACAAACAGCCTGAGGATCTTGCGGTTGACCATTTTGATTTGCCTTTTCGTTCTGCAGATTTGTTGCCAAGACCTATTGCGGTTTGTGCTTCTGAGAGAGTAGCGAAACAAAGATCGCAACCCAAGTGTGTCGACGACTTGTTCGCGAAAATTAGTTCACGCACAGACATGGACTTCGAGACGGAACAGGGAGCTTTGTTACATAAAGCTGCGCTGAAATGGTTGACTATAGTCAGTCACAATTAAAACGGTAGCGAGAGTGGTCGAATTTTGTTGAAAGAAGCAAATGGAGAACCCAACGAGGCGAGTTGCATGGCTTTCCTGTCCGCAGCCTTTGGCGTGAAGTCACCGCTCACAATCGACAAGAGAGCGTCAGCGGTTTTGAGATATTTCAGATTTCACCAAGAGTTCATCGGTGGCCTTGCAGTTCCGTTTGAAGAAGCTTGTGTTTTCAGATATTTCAATGAGATGCAGGACGTGTTCGGCAAGTGCAGCGCTGCAAGTTTCTTGGAGGCTATGCGCTTCAGCCACTATGTCCTGGGCATAGATGGAGCGCTCGAAGTTACAAAGAGTCTAAGAGTTTCAGGCAAATCCAAGCAGCTTCTGGCTCAGAAGAGGCTTTTGCAGCAGGCTCCGCACTTACTTGTGCAAGAGGTCCGTGAATTGCACCGGCTCCTTGCAAACCCTGAGGAAGATTTGATGAACAGACTTGCAGCGGGGACGTTCCTATGCTTGTTGTATTCAAGATCCAGGTGGTCAGACGTTAGGCAAGTTCACACAATGGAGTATGACAATTCTGAAGGCAATGTTTCTTTTCTGGAGATCAACACGCAGGTGCACAAAACTGCCAGATCAGCGGAGCTGAAAGCCAAGCTTCTCCCAATCGTCGCCCCCAGTGTGGGGGTAGTCGAAGACAACTGGATAGAGATGTTTCTGGATGTTCGAGAAGCTGTGGGGTTGCCAAGGCTTGGCAACATAGATGGCCCACTTTTGCCAGCGTTTGATGATGCGTTTTTCATGCACAGGTCAATTACGTCGGAAGAAGCTTCAGCTTGGCTGCGCCTACTATTACACTGCGAGAGCGGTGGGAGGCATCCGAGTTCTCATTCTCTGAAGCGCACAGTCCTCAATTGGACAAGCAAGTGGGGCCTTGACGGAGAAACGCAGGAAATCTTAGGTCGTCACGTTTCAAAGCTGCGCGGGTCGGCGCCGCTGTGCCAGAGAGATCTATTGTCAAGACCCTTGAGGAAGCTGGTGCTGGTTCTGAAGAACATCCGGGCTGGGCTCTTTGACCCAGATAAAACAAGAAGTGGCATGTTCGCCGCAGAGTCAGGCCAGGGCGCACTCAATGAATTTCGACCCGCTTCGGTCATTTCAGCAGTCTCGGAGGAGGAGTGTGCCCCGCCAGGTTTTTGCAAGCAAGAGGGGGCGTCTCCGCAGGAGCCAGCTCCGGTTGACTCGCTGCCAACTACAGCCGTGGAGGAAGCTCGTTCGGTTGAACCCTCGTCAGAGAGCAGTTCAAGTGGCTCCAACTCGTCAAGCAGTTCGGAGTCCTCTTCAGAGGAGGAACCTGTCAAAGAGCTAGCTGAGTTGAAGGGCAGCAACCCAGGCGTCCCTGACCAGGAGGACGCAAGTTTGTGCTTCATACATGTTGTTTCCAGAGTAGTCCACAAAGTAGATGCGAAGTTCAAGAGCTCACCTGTCAGATTTTGTTGCGGGATGACTTGCACTAGCAAGCACGTTTCAGTGCCGGTTGGTAGCGAAAGAGTAGGTAGACAGTGCCAGCGATGTTTTCCAGACACCGTCAAGTACAGGAGCACCAGCGATGTAGTCGCTTTGTTTGACGCGGTCGCAAGAAGCGAAAGATGGAGGCCGCGTCAAGCGGTGTCAGGCCATAGGGGCCGTTTTTGAGGCAAAGAGCCAAGACAGCCGCAGGGGCTGAGGGCAATGGGCCGAAAAGAGAGCAACCGTCCAGGTTGAAAGGCACTGAGCCTCCGACAAGACACGGGAATGTTCAGTTCTATTAAGGGAGCTTGTTTGACCTAACCCGATGGTTGACGGTTCAAACAGCATGTTTGCTAACCGGTGTCAAACAAACTGACAAATCTCCCTGTGAGTGCGCGCGGGGCACCCTGCTCAAGTCAGAATGAAAGTGTGCCTGAAGTCCGCTGGCTCAAACATGTTGCATTGTCACTTGCAGCATGTGGCATTTCTTCAGCTTTTGCATTTAGTTTGGTGAAAGGTTTGAGCTTAACGCAGGCAAGCCTTGTGCACTTTAGCGCAGCCATGGCATCGATTCTCGACTCAAGTGCCTTCTTCGAACAAAGGGCGGCCGATGTTGGAGCATCCAGGGCCATATTCGATGCTTTTGTGGCATCTGGCCATGACACCCTAGCAAGGTATGGTTTTGCCAGGTTTCAGCCAGGAGACAGACCCGATGCGACAGAGTTTACTAACTGGCTTGTGGCGGTTACGGGCGCGCCGGTAGATGAGTCTACAAGTGCACCCTGGAGGCGGCTCCTTTTCGAGGCCCACACATACATAGTTTCGCAGGTGCGTGCGGCGGTTGAAGAGCCTGCGTCGGAAACTAGCGTGCCCAAGAAGATTCCTCTGGTTGAAAAACAGGAGAGGTTGCAGCGTTTGCGGACTAGCCTTACAGGCGTCCTGGTTGCGGGCCCGTACGAACCGTCGAATCACCTGTTGGAGGCAGTTATGCACATCCAGCAAACGAATGCCATCACGTACCTCAGCCCCGACAGATGCAGTTCTCGCGACTTGGAGGTGAAAAACAACAAGAACAAGAAGACGCTGGAAATCGAAGGTTCCATGCTCAAGGTTGCGGAGCACAGGGGAGATTTGGTTCAGGAAGCCAGGACGCTTTTTGAGGTGGAGCAAGCTTTGAAACGAAGGGGTCTTGCTCTGCATTTCGCTGACTTGGTTTCTTGGCAGGTTCACGAGAAATATTTGCTGCAGCTGCTCCAACATCTCTCAATTGACCCGCCGCCGGGATATAGCAAAATCAGTGGTCGCAGGCAGCGACAAAAGTTAGGTCAGTCAAACGTGACTCTTTGGGTAGCCTACCTTTGGACGTGTTCTTCGAGAGTGTCTGGAACATTCATTTGGTTAACTTTCACCTCCTACCTCAACCAGCAACCAAGGTTCAAAACAAACAGGACAGACCTGCAGGCAAAGCAGACGGCAAACCATCTCAGGGGTGGTACACCAGGCAGCAGCAACAGCCTTACAGCACAGGAAAAGGCAAAGGCAAGAGCAAAGGCAAAGGCCAGAAGCAGGGCCCCAGGATTCCCAAAGAGTTGTATTCTGCAGGTTGCTCGGCCTTCGACGAGTCAGGAGCTCCAATCTGCTTCGGGTACAACTTGGGCCAATGCGACGCTTGCCCAGAGGGAGCCACATGCAACAGAGGCCGGCGCATTTGTGCAAAGTGTTACAAGGTTCACTCGTTCATCAAGGAACACAAGAGCAGCTGACTAACCGGGCATTTAGCTCGTCTTTCTCAGCATAAGTTGAAGTACCAAGATTGCTGGATCATTGAGGTTTTCTCTGGAACAGCCGGTATTTGTGCAGCCTTGAAGAGGCTACATTTGCATGCCTTTGGGGTTGACATAACAAACAAAAGATGCAAAGCAAGTGTTTTGCGTGTCGACCTCAGCACCACGTCTGGCCAAGCCACGTTATTGAGTTGGTTGTCCAACCCTTTGGTCGTTGGACTGTGGATGGCGCCGCCGTACAGTGCAGCCTGTGCAGCTCGCTCCATTCAGGCACCCAATAACCCACATGCGCTATATCCGTTACGTTCTCAACAAGAACCTGACGGTGTCGCAGGTCTTTCAGGAACAAATGCACACAATGTTTCGCAAAACAACCGTCTTTACGATTTTACAGCCGACCTGGTGGTT